CTTGTAGCTACGGGAACTGCCAGCTTGGGCTACATGGACCTGCTACGTATGCTAACAGGTCCTGTGTATGCCCAGAGTACAGCGCTCACCCATAAGCAATCCTACTACTCCATTGCAAAGTGCGTGGCCGCTCTTACCCGCGCTTGTCCTAAAGAGGGCCCTGCAGTGGTGGGACAGTTCATTCAAGATGTGAAGAACTCACGCTCCACTGACTCCATCCGATTGCTGGCTCTGCTTTCCCTTGGAGAGGTCGGCCATCACGTTGATCTGAGCGGTCAGCCTGAGCTGAAAACAGTCATTCTGGATGCCTTCTCTTCAGCCAGCGAAGAGGTCAAATCAGCAGCTTCATATGCGTTAGGCAGCATCAGCGTGGGGAACCTCCCGGAGTACCTACCCTTTGTCCTGCAAGAGATCTCTGGCCAACCCAAGCGACAGTACCTGCTGTTGCACTCTCTCAAGGAAATCATCAGCTCTGCCTCGGTGGCAGGGATTAAACCGTATGTTGAAAATGTGTGGGCGCTGTTGCTCAAACACTGCGAGTGTACAGAAGAAGGCACAAGGAACGTGGTAGCTGAATGTCTGGGAAAGTTAACACTCATCGACCCAGAGACTCTTCTGCCCAGGCTAAAAGGCTATCTCTTATCAGGTGATTGTCAAACTCTGCCTGTTAATTATGTATCAAAAAGACTTTGTTAAATTAAAATTGAATTACTATTTAGATGGTTTTTATATCACAAATTGTTTCTTATAAATCTCAGCGTTTTGATTGAAGTGTTCTCTTTCTCCCCAGGATCATCTTATGCCAGGAGCTCTGTAGTCACAGCTGTTAAATTCACAATTTCTGATCACCCACAGACAATTGACCCCCTTCTTAAAAACTGCATAGGCAAGTGCTGTTATCAGTTGGTTTTCTCCTTTTGGAAATATATTTTTTTTCTCTTACTCCAAGTTCAAATTTTGAATTTTGTCCAGAACACATTTTAGAACTGGTTTTAATTTTAGTTTTTTTTTTTTTAATACTTCTAGGGGATTTCTTGAAAACATTGGAAGATCCAGACCTCAATGTACGAAGAGTGGCTCTAGTTACCTTCAACTCTGCAGCTCATAACAAACCTTCTCTTATTCGAGACCTGTTGGATACAGTTCTCCCTCATTTGTACAATGAGACCAAAGTGCGCAAGGATTTAATCAGAGAGGTAATCTGCCCTTTGTCCACAGCCCTTTGCTTTACTGTCTTTTTAAAACCTCAAAGCTCAGTGACACCTGTCTCTTTCTAGGTTGAGATGGGTCCGTTCAAACACACAGTGGACGATGGTCTGGACATCCGGAAGGCTGCATTTGAATGCATGTACACTCTATTAGACAGTTGCCTTGATAGACTTGACATCTTTGAGTTCTTAAACCATGTTGAAGACGGACTTAAAGACCATTACGATATCAAGGTAAGTCATCAAACTCGACCCATGAATCTTTCATGAGACACAGGCTTTTTGCCATGCAGATCATTTAGCGAGCACAGATGATGAAAGAGTGAATTGATTAACAGAGATTCAGTGTGCGGTCATCAAAGGCATAGATGCATAATGCAACAGACATGGTCCAACTTTATTTTAAATGTACTTATTACCAGGTGTACTTGCATCATAATGAAGCAGGAGCATTAACTACTATTTTAATGCAATTGAGGACTTTGTGCTAGAAAATATGTAGTTTTATACGATTAATTTGTTTACCTATACACTTTTAACAGGAATTATCAAATGATCATGTATTTACCTAGCAAGCCATGGGTATTTGATAGTTACAAGGAACTTTAGTGGGACCAAACGTATCTGCGTAGATTCATTATTCACAAAGGTTTATAGCTCTTTTTGCTCTATTAATGTGTTTACAGATGCTGACGTTCCTCATGCTGGCTAGATTATCTAGTCTGTGTCCCAGTGCAGTGTTACAGAGGTTGGACAGACTTGTAGAGCCGCTTAGGGCGACATGCACCACAAAGGTAAGCAAAATATTCCGCAAACACCAAAATCAGACATAGTGCCGTTTCTTTGTATGACATTAGAGGAAATCTGAATTGAGCTGCATCTGTGGTTTCCATAGTGGGTGAAAGTTTGAATTCAGTTTGCAATATTTGCCAATCCTGTTCCCCCTTTTTCTCAACAGTTCCTCTTTTTCTCAGTTATCACAGACTACTGGAAAGGTCATCAAATAGTGATGCCAATTCATTGGTCAAAAAAGTGAGAGTCCTTTGATTTCTAATTGTTCTTTCTCAGGTAAAAGCCAACTCTGTGAAGCAGGAGTTTGAGAAGCAGGACGAGCTCAAACGATCTGCCATGCGGGCAGTAGTGGCCTTGCTAACCATCCCAGAGGCAGAGAAGAGCCCCCTAATGAGCGAGTTCCAATCTCAAATCAGCTCCAACCCTGAGCTGGCTGCCATCTTTGACAGCATCCAGAGGGACTCCTCCAGCGCCAACATGGAATCCATGGACACCAGTTAAACGACTAAGACAACGTACCCGTTACCGTCGCTCTTGAGAAAACCCACAAAGAAAACCAACCCTGGGGGACCCTTGTATTGTTCCATGCATTGCACTGAATCAAAAATAGGAGGAAAACAAAATCTAAAATTAAGAAAAGAAAAAAACTAATGAAAAGAGAGACATTCGTTCTCTTAAGCTTCAAAGCTTCCCATAGAGCTAGTTTAATTTACCACAATATTCTTGTTTAGTGTGCGGGTCTCTTTTTAAGGATATCTGTATGTTGGGGAAAGGAACACCATCATAGATCTCACCGTATAGCTGACCCATGGGTGACTGAAGTTTGAATCTGATGCCCTGGAAAGCAGTGTGTAGAATACACACAGTCTAGGTTTATTGGTGTAGTCATGTACGGACTGCGTTCTACATCCATTAAAATATGACCGTATGGCAATGTTCCTCCTTAAGAAATCAATAAAAGGTCCATTGCCTGCATCTAAATGTCATTTTATGGTCCTTCAAGTTCAGTTAAGAACCATAATAATGGCTGATGCCTATTACGCACAAAAAATGACAAGAGCTGGCTGAAAGGGCCAGTTCCAATTTGCTTTACTGACTTTATAGGTGTTCTTGTTACATTTAGCACTTTTGAAGAAGAACTACTCTGGATTTGAAAAAGGTTAGTAGCATCACTTTTGTTTGAGGCTTTTTGTACCTCATCTACATTTCATTTAAGTTGTCTCTGAAATAGTACATTTGGTTGCAGATAAATTCCGATCACAAGTCCATACACGTTTTCCATTATCTTTCATATTATTAATCTTTCATAAATTATTTTTTTAAAGGAACTGTTGTACCAAAAATTACATTCCATTCTCTTAACAAAATCGAGCGTTAGAACATTTTCTGTGTTACTATGACCCCCAACCCCCCCAGGCAATTTTATGAGCCGATAATGCATACTGCTATTGTTACTACTTTAATTCACAAGTTCTTAAAAAAAAAAAAAAAAAACGAGCACGTATGGGGCAAGATACGCCCAGTATGTACGCCCTCTACATGTTCGTTTTATTGAGAACTTTCTAAATAATAAAGTTATGACACGCCCAGTATGCTTTGTCGGCACAAACAATTGCTTTGGAGGGCATGTTCTGTGGGTCATATTTCCATAACAAAACAACAGAAAATGTTCTAATGCAGGACCTAGTCGGCTCTGCCGTCTGCCCTCACTCATTCCATATTGCTCATTAGAAAAACAAAGCAACACTGCAAAGGTCATCGACTCTACCTATGCATGGTGAAGAAGCCCAGGCAATTCTTTTCTATAAGCTTGCAAAAACTAAAATATCAGTATTTCAACATGCCATGGTGGACAAACAGGCTAACCTGTGAGCAGAAGAGTCAAAAACTGGGTTTTGAACTGCGTCTACCAGGGTGCTGGAAGCATGAAAGTACATTAGCAGTTTGTCATCGCTTAAATGAACCCACTTCCAATTTGCACGCTAATGAGTCACGCAAATGCTATTAAAGGCCAATTTGCAGTGGCCTGATTTGCATCAGAGGTGTGAGCGCTAATGCACAGCCGTGATCATTTGCTCATCAGGACAGATGTAGGCCAAGGTGTCCTCCATGTTAATGTTATTAGATAAAGGTAAATAGATATTTCCATGAGTATTCCATTAAATTTTGTATCACAGAAAGTTGTCGACATTTCAACCAATTCTACGTTTAAAAAGCTTGCTTTCTAAAAAAAAAAAAAAAAAAGACAATAAAAAGCCTGTGGCACACAGCCTCCCTCTTCCAAACTGTGTATATGTGATCATATCATTTTGAGCAAGCCAAAAAAGGCTAATCTTCATTATAGATGAAATGTGTTTTGTAATGATGACGAAGTGTTTGTCTGCACTGCCCTATGGGAGATCACAGCAGGAGGCCGTAAAAAGCACACTGCAGATTAATGCTTCCCTACTGCTGACAGATCCTTCATGGCCTGCTGAGCAGCTGCTTGTAGCTGCTTTAAAGCCTGAAGCTTAATGTTTCACCTCTAAGTTGGATTTAAACAATGCAAGGAGACCTCACCCCCTAAAGAGGAATATAACTCATATCATCTCACTAATGACGCTTACACTAGCTACATGCAGAGTAAAGCCTCATGGCAAATGTCTGTATTTTGAGGCAGTTTCTCAGGATTGGAGAGCATGATTATTGTTGCTTTTTTGGGGTATGTCATGAGCTGATTCTGTGGCCAGGAAACCAACGTCAAAAGTTAAGCGAGTCCTCGTCTTTTACTGTGTTGTATAATAATCTGTATTATTTTGAGTCACTGTTTGTTTTGTTTGCTCTGATATTAATGGCCCTATGCAAATCATTTCACAAAAAGGGGTTGTTCTCAACTCTGTGTGGGGTTCCAGGACAGAACCAGCCACCAGCCAATCAGCAGCTGAGAGCTGTGTTGTCTTTGATTTTGACTGGTCTGTTAGGGTGGTCATGGTAATGTCCTGATTTCAGTCGTTTTGACTGTCCTTAGTATGAGGCGGCAGCCAGCCTTTCCACTGAGCGGTCTTGTTTTCTGCATGTCTGTGGTAAGTTTTACAAGATTTATCTTTAACAGATGTTTTTCGAAAGTCATCCTGACACCAAAAACAGGATATTTGGCTTACTCTAAGGTACTTTTGTTGCACTTTCAAGAACTTCAAATGTTCAAATAAGTGTTTTTATCAGAACTGGGAGGTGCACATGGCGGTGTTACAAATCTGTGCTAAATGGTGTGTATTTTATTACAATATTATTTTATCTGTTGTTGGCTGCAATGCTAGAATACACTAATTTCTTTAGTTTCCATGCTAAATCATCTTTAATCTGTCACTGACAAATATCAAATGGAGAAAAAGGAAATTTGAGGTTTAGGGAAATGGGCAGGCGTACAAGCTTTATATTTCATGGTGGATTGTGTGTTTGATTGATATCTGAAAGCATGAGATTGATTTAAAACAATCCTGATGTATCAGTAGATGAATTATCTCCACTGTGGCCGAAAATATATTTTCAATGCACATGCATTGAATTTCTGCAATGAATCACCTATTTATATGTTAATAGACTTCTTGAAGACTAATGGATTTCTTGAAATCCTGTTGGTAAAGATAAGAGCTGAATTATTGGTCAAGAATATCTTTAATTAAACAATTATTTATAGGAGGGAGAGGTTTAGTAGTATTGATTAAAGTGTATTTGGTAATTATGTATCTTGGATTTTTGTCTTTGTCATCTAACAACTTGTTCTCTTTAAGGGTAAATAAGAATCAGGATGGGCTTTTCTGTCAAAGGCTTTCCTATGGATGGGAATGGAGACTGGTAATATTTTCTGTGCTGTTAATATGCAACAAGAATGCAAATATTTAAAAATAATATTTATGTTGCAATACATTCCCGTATATGGTTATAGAAACATTTAGTATGTTACAAACAGAACAAACAGTAAAATAACCATTTATATAGCTAACATCACAGTTGAGGTTACTTTCAAAGTAAATATATCAAATCTTATTTATATCACTTGCTCTGTCAACAGGCCCTCCAAAAAAATTAGGAAACACAGAAGTCGGTCACCTTTTCGTGATGTTTCACCTGTACCATCGCATTTCTCAGAACCCGCCTCATGCTTGCAACACAGGGTAAAACTACAGAATCATTAAGACCACTGACCATTAAACTCTATATTTGACAATTGTCCCTGGTAGCCATCACCCATAATAAAGCAATTTCAACGTATGTCCATTTACTTGGAAAGTATGCATGTAATAAATGGGATAATGTCGCAAAATAAACACCTTGGTACATAATGAACCTGTTCAACCTGTCATGATTTATTTTGCAATAATGACCTGCTGACTGTACATTATATCACACATGATATGGCAGCTAGAACATCCTATGGACATATGAGCTAATTCTGCTTGTTTTGCATAGGATGTTATTGCCAGCCTTCCCTGTCTCCCTGGTGTAAAGGGGCCACTCAGGGATGAAGATGACGATGACGATGTTCGGAGTCACAAGAGCTTGCCAGCGGTAATGACAGGATTAACCCTCCAACCCAGAGAAAAGAGGTCATACAGACAATCTAAGAATCACATCACATCCGGTTTACCCCCTCTCATAAGCGCCAGGTACTAAATACAGTTCATTCCATATAACTGGTTCCCTTTGTAAGCAACGTTTTAACAAAATAATTCACCCTCAAGTTCTAAATCTGAATTACTCCTGTAATACAGACACCACTAATTGATTACCAATGTCAATACTCAATGGCATAATATGCTCAGTGCTGGTATAAACACATGATTACCAGGTGCAGTTTGATTGTGAGAGGCACTGGATGCAAAACTGTCCCCAAACTCCCACCAATCACTAAATCCAGGAATACTTGGAAGGAAACAGACCCCCCAAGACCACCTTGTAGGTCTGGATGCAGGTATTGCCACCTTTTTCCCTTAAAATGCTAGCGTATGCTAGTACATTTCAAGTACATTTTATTTTACTTTATAAAAATTAAAGTCACACCACTGTGGACTTAAAACCATAAGCTCATAGATCAAATCAACCATCTATTGACTGGCCATCTAAATCCTGGCGATAAGAACAGGACTTTGCAGCAGAATTCAATGCCCTTAGCTTTTGGGCTGGAGGAATGATAAGTTCTTTCACACTTGTCACTGTGTAGGCAGGAGACTCTTTTTTCATGGTTTCACTTCGTTCTGCATTTAGGGCGCTGTTAAAATCACAGAACAAAAATGAAAAGGCACAGTCAATATCTTGCCCGGCAGATATGTGCAGAGTAATTTTCTGCTTATTAATGATTTAAAGCCTGGTTAGTCTTGGCGTCACGTGGGCAAGTATTTTTCTGCTTTGCTCATTTATTTGAGGCTGTGAGGTGTGAGGGAGAGAGAGCAGAGTTCAGCGCTGAGAACTGAGAGGGAGAGCGAGGGCATTTAGATTTCTATTTACTACTATCAGCCCCCACAGCTGGGCTAATAAACTGAAATTAAAGTGTCCCAATAAAGTGGAATTACACAGAGCAACCAACAGCTCAGTCAGGTCTGCTTGTAAAGTGCAAAAAGTATGTTTAAATGCCTCACTTTGGTAGATATGGGACTTAAGAGCAATAAGGTTCAGATGTCTATGCTTGCCTGAACCATTACTGATAAATACGTTTAGTAACTGAAATGGTAATTGAATTTGGATCTTAATGTGATTGAAAACCTGATAACCTTTCCTGTAGTGGAACTTTCTGTGGTGCACCCATAGCTAACTATGCAGACAAGGATTTGCAATATATAGTGATAATATGGTGATATCATTTCAGAAAAAAAGAATGCTTTAGCTAAATATGTGATGGATGATTCTGGACCATTTTCATCGATTTCCTCTTGAAGCTATAGACTTTGTGTTTGTGTTATAGATTTGTGTCGCTTGTCTGAACCAAGTTTCTGACATTCATACTAAAAAGGCAAACTCTGCCACTAAACCTTTCTCTCTTTAATCTGTAAATTTCCAAGTTTTTTAGTGCATTGCTATGATGTTGTTAAAGTGTTATGGGTAGTTGTTAGAAAGTTTCTAAGCAGGTACTAGAGTGTTCTGAGCCATTGTTAGTCATTAGCATTGTTAGGTGTTCTGCAGGTTGCCAGGTAGTTGCATACTGGCCCCTAAAGTCTGTATGTTATTCCGGTCATTAGATATAAGACATTAGATACAAGTCTTTGGGATTTTTTCTCCTTATTTATTGTCCACCGGGCAAAAGTATGTTTGCTTAGAAAAGTAATAGCACAAATTCTTGAGCCACTCAATTTGAGTTATCATTCTTCTTTGTAGAACAACATAAATGATGAGCACATGAAACATACCTAAAGTTTTGCAAGACACTAAGCAAGCATCACTAATTACATAGCTGGTGCCAGTCAAAGTGTGCATGCCTGTTAGTTTTATACTGTTTTTAAAAGATTGTAGTATTTAAATGTCTAATTATTCTTATTCTCTTATGAAAAAGGCCGGACAAAATGGAATTCAGTTCAGCTAAACCTATTCATACAAAAATTGTACCTGTCGGGCAGACGTCTCTCTCTGTCAAGGTGCACAGTGTTCAAGGAAATGGGCCCTGCTTGCTTCCTGCCAAAGCCTCTGGAGTGTCCCCGAGATCTCGACTCACTTTCCAAAGTCCTGTAGTGCAGGCAGTGTACCCTATCAGTCCTGACACCATGCAACAGATGAGGCAGACTGACAGAGCGTGCCAGCCCCTGAGGTCTGTGATGAAAAAAGCACCAAACAGAGGAGTATTTCACTGCCCACTGGCGGCCCACATGCTGGAGCCATTTTCTGGGTTCCAGGAGCATCTGTGCCGCCAGATCCTACACTCTCCACTGCCTTATCGTGCAGCTCTGCCACAGGTCCACATTCCTTGTCACCAGGACCAGGTAGATCTGTTACCTGCACACAGGGGCCCATACGGTTCCCTGAGGGAACGCACTGTGGAGCTGTGCAACTCTCAAGGACAGAAACTTCCCAAAATCACCATGACTTGCCCGACACCTTCTCCAAAATACCTGTGCCGCACAGAATTTCAGATGCAGCTTGAAGGATGAACCAAGATGGCTGCAGAGTAAACTGACATGCTTAAAGGGACTTTAGTGCTGCTCAGTGCAGTTCAAAGTTAATATTGCTCTGTGCACAAAGGATTACAAAAAGATCACCAAAGTTCACCAAGATCACCAATTCTTGTTCACGTTAAGAGACAATAAAGCCAAAACAGATGCCTGTGCAATCTCTTGGCACTTTTCCTGATTGCTCAGCGATGATTGGACTCATGGTCATAATGCTCTCCTGTGCACAGCTCAAGTTATTGCTGTATAACCAATCATCTTTCATCTGGTTGCCATGGAAGCCCTAAGGATCATTAAACCGTCGAACTGGACCCTGGGGGCTGCACTGTTCTACAGGTACAGGAAGTGCCTCAGAGGAGCTTTATAAAGTCATGCCATACAATTTCCTGGGTGTTAGGATCCCCAGGTGTAGGAATCATAAGTCTGTCTTACTGAGGAATGTAATAATTTTTCTTTCCCCCACTTTCCATGGCCTTTAATTTCTTCTTTAAAATCAATACAATTTTCTGTTGAGTAGAATCTACTGTGAAATAGGGGGCCAAGGGCAATTTTTACATTTTCCATCATAGCCTGCTACAGATGTATCTGCCATCCTTTGATATAAGAATGTGTATTTGTGTGTATGTGTATATGTTTATCTGCTAGAAGTAACTTTACCATTCATAGACCTATGAGAGAGTAATATTGACTTATTCAAAGAAGTCACCCTCATTACATCACCTATCATAGCAGAGGTTGGGGATAATCAACGTGATCTCATGATAATTCGTATGCATTTTACGTAAAATGTGGTTCTATAAAACGTACATTTACTTACGTTTTTACAGGCACTAAAACGTACAATACTGACG